AAAACGACTCGTATTCATGTCTAAATTGAATTGAATTGTGCATGAGTTCACCTCCATCCGGGTATGTAAACTGTAGATGTAGCTTTAACGACTAGATTGATAAGTTGTTTTAGACGTATAAAGATCATTTTTCCTTCTTCATAGCTGCTTCCAAATGCTGTTCGAGAAATCACATCAGCTGCCAAGTTTCCCAAATGAGGCATCACATCCAATTCATAATATCCATCTTTTGAGACCACTTCTTCCCATTTCCTAATCATCTCAGTGCAACTCTCACACATTGCAGGCACCATGCCCTGTATATAGCAATTTAACCATATATGTGAACAATTAGACTCCCAAAAATATTGTTGCTCAAAGTACAATATAGAAGTTTTTGAAATTGCACCAACTTCTAAATCTACTTTTATACAAATCTAACATGGTTAGTTGGATAGGTGTGTATCAGCCAAACCCCACCGCTACTAGATATTGTCCTCTTTCCGCTTTTTCTTTTGAGTTTTCCTTCAAGGTTTCTATAACGCGTCCGCTAGCAGATATCGTTCTCCTCTCCAACCGATGTGAGATCTCACAAGCAAACGCCCTTACAAGGGTATAGAAACCTCTCCCTAATAGATGTGTTTTCAAAATCTTGATAGAAAACCGAAAAAAAAAAAACAATATCTGCTAGCTGTGGATTTGGGTTGTTACAAATAGTATTAGAGCCAGACGTCAGCTATTGTACCAATAAGGATGTTGTCTCTAGTGGGGGTGAATTGTGAGAACTCACATCGATTGGAGAGAGAAACGAGTGCCAATGAGAACATTGAACCTCAAAGGGGTGAATTGTGAGATCTTACATCGATTGAAGAGATGAACGAGTGCTAGCGAGGACTCTCGTTACAAGAAGAAAGCATACCTTCAAGTGTTTGAAATGAAAGGCTGGATTGATTATCTTTCTATGCTTAACCCATTTGGGTCCTTCATGATCAGTAAGTCCATCGAAAAGCAACCTTGAAAGAGGGTTGATAGACGGCTTTTGAACATCATGCATTAAAGAAAGTGCAGCTTTGAGTTGATCAGGGTCCATGATGTGCACTCTTGGATATGGTCCAATCCACATGAATGAATTCTTTCCTATATTTAATACAAACAACAAACAAACACTTACAGAATAATTAAATACCTATTTGATAAAAACAAACAAACACGACATACCATATTTGTGGATGGTATGATTAAACTTACCATAATTAAACTTACCATATTTGTGGATGGTATGATTTATGGAGGGGATGACACGTGGAGCAATATCATGGGAGAAGTTCATGGGGCTGGATATGGCCTGCTCCCTCATGGCGGCTATGTCCTTCATGTCGCCGGAGAGAAGCCGGTAAGGATTCCCGGCGAAGCCTTGGTTTCTGAGGGACCTCTCAAGCTTCTTGGGCCTCAGCCAAATCCAGTTCAAAAATCTCCATCCCCATACGGCTAAACACACCACAGCCACCGCCCAAATGGAAACCCTAATACTCCCCAATATCTCCATCTAAATACAGACAGATTTCTGAGTTTTGAGCTTCAATTATTAGCTATGGAAGGAAGGAGGACTTGTGTTTGCTAATTTATAACCAAACGAAAGTGCATGCAAACAAATTTGATTCGTGAAATTACAAACTTTATCTAATTAAGTCGAGTTTAATATCGACATATTTGAAGTTGAATTGATTTTGAGTTTTAAATTTTGTGTCTATTAGGCATATGTTGTCTACTTATGCACGCGGGAACCGTTCGTGTATTCCCATGAGCTCGCTTGCTATCAAGACTAGTTGTAATAGCTCAGGTCCACCGCTAGTAGATATTGTCCTCTTTGGGCTTCTTTTCCCTTTCGGGATTCCCCTCAAAATTTTTAAAATGCGTATGCTAGGGAGAGGTTTCCACATCCCAACCGATGTGGGATCTCACAATCCACCCCCCTAGCTGACACTTGTTTCTTTTTCCAATCGATGTGGGACCTGTACCAAATCACCCCCCTTCAAGGTCCAGTGTCCTTACTGACACTTTTCCTTTCTCCAATCGATATGGGACCTTACCAAACCCACCCCCCCCTTCGGGGCCTAACGTCCTTACTGGCACACTGCCTTGTGTCTATCCCCTTCGAGGAACAATCTCCTCGTAGGCACATTGCTCGGTGTCTAACTCTAATACCATTTGTAATGGCCCAAGTCCACCGCTAGCAGATATTGTTCTCTTTGGGCTTTCCCTTTTGATCTTTCCCTCAAGGTTTTTAAAACGCGTATGTTAGGGAGAGGTTTCCACACGTCCTCTTTGGGCTTTCCCTTTCGATCTTTCCCTCAAGGTTTTTAAAATGAGCTTGTTAGAGAGAGGTTTTCACGTGTCCTCTTTGGAGTTTCCCTTTCGATCTTTCCCTCAAAGTTTTTATAATGCCTCGGTTGGAGAGAAGTTTCTACACCGGTGTTTCGTTCTCCACTACAACTAGTCTCACACCAGTCATATATAGCATATCATGATATCTCTGAAATTCTTATTTTTTATGTTCAAGTCACACAATTTGTATACGTTCCGTGTAAGAGGTGACTTTTCTTATTTTGGGTAATTGATCGTACCGAATCTATTAAATTTTTACTTCTTTTTAGGAATAATTATTTTTCAATATTTCAATTTCGTGTAAAAGATATATTTTAATATTTCTGGTAAATTTATTTTTTTTGACATAATTTTAAACATCAATTAATGAGGCTATAAATAGAACCAATTCCAAATCCAGTTAGACCAGCTTGCTGAACATCTTTTGTAGGAATTCAATTACATATTAGATTTAGGTATTTTATTTGGTGGTTGTAATCACCTTATCAATAGATTTAGAAAGAAGATAAGGATAGAAGTCCGTGTGGCCTATTTTTATTGTGAGCTTCTCTGATGTTGTTAGAGAAATTTTGTAACGATCCTAAATTTTGTTTATAACCTAAGGTTGTTACTGTATACGTATTATGATCATTTAATGTGAAAATACTTTATTTAAACTTTATAATAAAAACATAACCTTGTTCTTACTGTAAAAATGCCTTATAATATGAAAATGCAACTAACCTATACTAACCTATACTAACCTTAAATTATGAAACTATCCTGAGTAGAGCTATAATGGAACCAATTCCAAATCCAGTTAGAACAGCATGTGTGAACAATTTTTTTTTTTTTTTTTTTTTTTTTTTTTTTTTTTTTTTTTTTTTTT